TATTTTCTTTCAATGATTTTTCATTTCACATTGTATGTAGGCTTGTTGTAATTTTCTCCGAAGAAGTTATTTTCAACAAAGAAACGTTACAAGTTATAAAACTATTATTTTTCTAATGTTGTTGTTCTCGCCTGTATATTCTCTTTCTCGGAAAAAGAATTGTTCTTCTTGTTCTTACATTCTCATTCCCGCAAAAAAATTTATTTCCACTTCTGAAGCAGAGACGTAAACCAGTCCATTCATCGGCAGTGTGTAAGAGTCATTTTATTTTTGTTCTTTCGGCAGTGACTGAAAATACTCAACTTTTTTTGTCTGTCGGCGGAGACGAGTGAATTTGTTGGACGATTTCTTTAAGGTTTTCTTATTTCCGAGAAATTGGCGGATGGAAAAAGAGAAAACAATGGTAGAGAACACACTGATAAAAAAACTAGACAGAAATATCGTTGAAAAGTGAGCTCAGGCGTCGAAAAATCTTCAAAACTGTTAATTTTTTTTGTCCCACCGACAGCGGCGATTCAGCTCGTCGATTTACACTTCTAATCGTAAGACTTCAGGAATTCATATTCCTGTTTTATTTTTAGATTTTAAGATAACCGTGACACGACTTCAAATTAAAAATATAACTATGATTGGAGCTACAGTAGGTTAGTTACGTAAAAATAAAAAGCTGTTACATAAATATATCTGAATATGTATGCAAATATGAGAAAAAAATGCGGGAACACCAATACTTAATGGAGTTCCAATTGTCATAAGAAATGGAGCAAGAAAACGATGGGTATAGAAAAATATTCCAGCAAAACAAAATCTTTTCTACACAGTAAAAACACTTATAATGTAATGTCGTTTTTGTGAACACTGCTGCTTGGACATTATTTTGTTTTTCAACAAAGCAGATGGATAACAATTCTTGCGAGAGTTGAAAGTCAATGAAGATAATCATCGACATGTTTTCTTAAATGCACGTTTTTTGACACATAAATTGCAAATGCTTTTCTTCTCTCCCCAGGTCAATCACGCTTCGCCGTAAACGGCCGTTCACTAACCAAATACGGCGAATAACGACGACTGTTTACAGTAGCTGTTTACGGCGACAGTAAACGATGCTTTACAGTATATTACGTCAATTGTACACGCTCACCGTACAAGTCCACCGTAAACTGCTACCGTAACAATACGGCGACTGTATACTTTTGTCGGAAAACAATGTAAGGCATCGTATACGTCAACTGTTTCCGATTACCGTTGACAACAGTCGTACCTAATGCATTACGGCATACTACAGCAACTGTAAACATCGGCCGTAAACTGTCGCCGGTTATGACCCGCGTGGCAACGCGACGGCTGTATACGCCAGAATTATAAAACCTTGTAAGACGTCCCTGTTAAAGAACCAATCAAAGCTCGCATTGCTGTATCTCTATGAAGGGATAGGAGTAGCCCGATACATATACCGCTCAATCGATAGAGAATCCTTGATAAACCTAGGATCCGCCCGAACATGCCTGTATGTTGTCCTTATAATAAGAGAGAAAAGTCATCTTGAAATCTGATTGGTCCAGTAAATGGACCAATGAGGTATTGGGATTCTCTTTCTCAGTGTGGTACTGGGTGGGGTCCCATACCTATACTCAGGAATCGATAGAGCGTCCTTGATAACCCTAGGATTTGCGCGGGCATGCCGATGTGTTGTCGTTATAATATGAGAGAAAGTTCGTCCTGATAAGATCGGCGAAATACGGCCACCGTATACGGTGATTTACGGCCGTTTACGGCCACTGTATACGTTGATTTCCGGCCGTATACGGTTGCCGTATTACGCCGTATGCGGCGCGACGAAATACGGCCGTAATACGGTCCCACGAAATACGGCGAAGATACGGCCGTATATGGCCGTAAATCCGCCGTATACGGTCGTATACGCGGCCGTAAACGGCCGTGTACGGCCGTTTCTGGTCTCCGTAATGCTCGTTCTGGGTCTATCAGTGTCATACATTACAAAATACGAATTCGAAATGAGAAACACTCACTTTGTTTTATCAAGATGGTATCAAAAAAATTGACTTACTCTATATTTTTAACTTTCTGGTGCGAATCTTGTAAAAGATTGTTGAGCCTATCTTAGACTCAAAACGTCCCGCCACCTATGAACATGACCATATCTTTCTGAAGACTGAATTTGCTTCAATAAATCTGAATTATTTAAAAGATAACTATAGAGCTCTGTACGATTGAGATGAGTATTGATTTTAGTTCCTAATTATGCGCCAATAATATCGCACTTCAAATCATTTTCCCTAGACTGAAAGGATAGAGTCTAGAAACCGGAATTGTCGGTAACATGGCACAAGTTACCATGTTTTTGGCACAAAAGACCACTTTTATGGCACAAACGACCATTTTTTTGGCACAAGTAACCATCTTTTTGGCATAAACGACCATTTTTTTGGCACAAGTGATAATTTTTTTGGCACAAAAGACTACTTTTATGGCACAAGTGACCATTTTTTTGGCACAAGTAACCATTTTTTGGCACAAATGAGTATGTAACTATGGCACAAACGGTCATTTTTCGGTACAAGCGGCCACGTAACTATGGCACAAGTGACCATATAGCAACCATGGTACAAACAACTATTCCGGTAACTATGGCACAAATGACCATCTAAAGACTGATGTAAAAGAACCCATAATAATCATGGGTAAAATGTCAATGGAATAACTATAATTCGGGTAGTGGTGTAAAACGGCTTACAAAAGCATTTAATTAGTGAGAGTCAGACCAAATGAGCAGTATGG